ACTTCAAAGAAATAAACCTGTGTTTCTGTTAAGTTAAATTAGGCTTACTAGTAAAAAAATATGTACTTACACCATCTAACAATAAAACCATCATAGTCTCCGACAGTCTGAATGTTGATGTGATAAAAAAAATCTATTAATATTGTGGAAAGCCATATGGAGGCCTAGCTTCTGAAATCGTTTACAAAATGGCAAACGTTTTGCTTATTAATTATTCAAAGAAAATAAATTATTTAGTCAGTAAGCCTTCAAAATGAAAACTTAAAATTTTGTTGTCGCTAACTTATGGTTTCCTCAGGTAGGTAGACTAAAACATAATATTTCTATTTAAAATTTAAAATTATTTTATTTGAACAAATTGTTAGATATTAGTCTCTACAAATCCCAAAGTCTCTACAAATATTGAAGTGGCAATAAGTTATTCCTACTGTATTACCATTCTTGGTATAGTAGCGAGGTGGCTGTGATAGCTATAGTTTGTAAAATTTAAGCCCAGTCTGTCTAGTAGTTTTTACTATGTTGAATAACACACATATATACAGACACCATGAGATTGTTATACAATAGTATAGATTATCAAATTAACAAAGGAAATTTGTAAAGTCCATCTATTTCCACATTCATCGTACTTACAATACGATAAATGCAACCAAAAACATTATGTTTGTATATTTTTAGTTGAAGACATATTGTGGTACCTATGTTGCAATTCATTTTTCACTAAATAAACAACCTAGATTCTAATTTGTCTTTTTTTACCACATTCAAACTAAAATGTGTAATTTAAATACTTTCATTCATTGATACAGAGCAGCAATACTCTCATTGATGTTATAGCCTAGCACGAGTGCCGGACTCAGGCGGCAGGTGAGTGCGGCGTTGCCAGTTCGAACGTTGCGGCCTTGTATTAGAGGTGGCTGTGGTAGAACTGAGGCCCCGCTAGAAAAACAGGCCATGGGGCAGGATCCATGTCATCACACTTGTGGTTCACATTGTAAATTCACTGCCATATCCCATGTTTTAGGTAAATAAGCTGGCTGTTATTGTCAGCTGGCAACTTTAGTTCAACTATCCACAACTGTGAGGTAGTGTTGCGCTGCAGCATGGCCTGTTTTTCTAGTGGGGCATTGGTAGAACACAATTAAACTTATGGACTTTCATCATTAACACAAAATGAATGAATTATGACAGCCTAGCTGTTTTGAACCAAACGGTAAAAAAAAGAGCTGTGATACACAATGAGAACTGTCAAAGTAGGATTGCTTACATAACTGTTGTGTTTATATGTATTTGATTTTATAAATAACGAGCTGCTACCCGTGCTTTGCAACGGGAAGAAAACGCAGAGAGAATTGTTCTTTAGATCTGCTCTATAAAATAGTTTCTCATCTTATTACACATCACTTATGATTACATATATATTATTCATTTCAGAATAAAAACGCAGTTTTACCTCTTACTGAAGTAAAATTTTGTCTTTATACAGTAGAACCCCTAATATGCGACCTTGGCATAACCGACTCGTCAGGATATCCAACCTAGTGTCCGTCCATCTACTTCCTGTCACGGGAGATGAGATAAGTCCGTTCGGTTAACTGAAAGCCTGATCACGGATGTTACCACGGCTCGTGGGCACGTACAGTATTACCGATGTCGCGGAGACTGCAAAACATGCTCATGGGTGTTGCAGCTGTCGCAGGTCACGTTCCCAGCGTCGCCGACATTGCAATACATGCTCACTACAGGTGTTACTGCGGTCGCAAGAGACGGTTACCGGTCTCGCCGTGACTGCAATACATGCTCACGGGTGTTACCGCGGTCGTGGGAGACAATAACCGATGTCACGGAGACTGCAAGTTATGCTCCTACTGACATCCGACCATGGCCCGGTCCCGTCTTAGTCGGATGATATGTGGGGTTCTACTGTATTTAGATAAGGGGTTTAAACTTTCTAGACAGACATTACAGTCAAGTCTATAACATGGTAATGTGACTTGTGTTTACAAATAATGTAACTCTATGATTTAATTTTAAAAAATAAGCCGATTTATAAGTGTTAACTACTTTCTTTCAAAACCCTACTTTTACTTATAGCCTATTTTTGATGTCGATTAATAGATCCATAAGAATATAACAACTGTACCGTAGTGTAGCAATTACTTGATATTGATGCTTCATGAAAAATATATTTTACCTTATTAATTCTTCAACTTTAGTCAAACCTCTTTAGCTTTCTATATAAATTACAAAGAAAACTGTGAGTAATATTCTACAAAACTTGTACTACCTTTCTTTAACCAAACACACATACTTCCTCAATGTAAAATAAAGCATCACAAACATATTTTTTGTTTTCCGCTCGAAAATATACAGTACAAACGCCAGTTAATTGTCTTGACCAGCTGTTTCATTAAATAAATTCAAGCCAAAACTAGAGCTCGCCCTGTGGTCGAAAACTCGACCAAAAGTTTGTATTGTGCAAACTTCTCTATTTTCACCCCACACTGTAAATAAAACATGTTATAGGAATTTCTTCAATTTGTTTTGATTTTCTGTTTATATTTTATTTAATTTGTTTGGATTCTCTGTTTGTTTTATTTTGTCCCCAGCATGGCAACCCATAAGGCTTATGTTAATTTTCTTTTAATTTCAAATTTATTTTTTGTGCTCATTTGAGATTCTATTTTAATTTATAAAGGGATTATGCACATCTATTAGAAAATATCTTTCATTTCGTACCAACCGTGTGTAAATTGGTCCAGTAGTCTAGTTTGGTCAGGCTAGCTATCATAAGTTTTGCTAATGTTTTTTAGCAGGCTATATAAGACAAGCTGAGTACTTACCCGTCTGTTAAAAATATCAAAGACAAGACTTTAAGGTAAACGATCCATTACAGAAACACATGTTGTATTTAATTTTGAAAGAAAATCATGCCGTGCTACATTGAATCGAATCGCATTGACTCAAAATCAAAATTCTTTGAATCGCATCAATGCATCAAATTGAAAAAAAAAATGCTGCATCGCACACCCCGATTTTTAAGTGCGATCTGTATTTTAACAAAGGGAACAATGACATCAATATTTACAATATATTAATAAAGAATAAAACATATGTTGTAGGTATCAAATAATTACTCAGAAAGACCATGGCAGACAATAAATTATAACAGCTACTCCCCTCCAAGAGAACTAAGCATTAGAAAATTTGATTTCTTTTTTTTGTAGCATCAGTCATTTTTGGTAGAGGTTTGCGAAGGCTAAATTAGGTACTCCCTAGTTAATGAGTGATTTTCACTTTGAGCTTACGTTTTCTACTTCGTTGTTTGATTTCTTTGACCAGTTTCGAAATATGACTTTTCCCATCTAGTAGAATTATCGTGTTTGGGATCCAGGAGGGCTCGCCGTTTGTCTGCCTCCATATTGGTTCGCATATTCATTGGAACAAGACCAATTTTGCATTTGAGCTCAATGATCTCTTGCTCATGCCGCCACCTGAGTTTCTCAATCTCTAGTTGTTGGGAATGTCTCAATGCCTCCACAGCTTCTGAGTTTGAGTCTGAAGAGGGCTGGGTAACTCCAAGCGGGGGAACTAACGCTGGTGTACTGATCACACTGGATAGCCGAGGAGGGTCGGGTAGTGACTTGCGGGCCGTGGGCCTCAGTGGGAACTGGAAGCATTCATATTATGTAGTTTTTCATCGTGAAATGTTGTCAAATTAAAATTTCCAACTATTCGACCATCAAATTTGGCACACTTTCCATGCATAGTCCAACCTTGATAACTCCATGACAGGATAGGAGAATTGGTAGGTCCTTCTATCACTTTTCTTGTTAAAATAAGAGGTGCATTTTCTTGTCCGATCAAGATAGAGGGTTTGGAATGTGCCGAAGGAAGGGGCTGGTCAATTGAGTTTAGGTGAAACCGAGTCTGTATAACTTTTACTGTGTCAAAGTTTTGAAGTGGTAAATCTAGTGGTGACTGTGTCCGAACGTTATCAAGGGTGAATACTTCATCCTCGTAAAGTCCTTTTATTTTTAGGCTAACTTTACAAGAGGTAGATTCAAAGTGACATGTTGAGTTTGACCAACAGGTAGTAAGGGGCTCTATATCTCCCTCGACTCCTAACTTGTCAGCTGTGGTAAAGTCAATTAGTGATATTGTTGAACCTTCATCTAAAAGTGCACAGGTATCAATTTGGCCCTCTAATTTCTTTTGACTTTCCATTTCTTTTAGTTCTAATTCTCTTTCGAGTCTGTTCATTTCTTCTATTTTTTCTAATTCTCAATTATTAGCAATCTACTGCGATGACTTGCTTTTGAAGATTTACTAGTACCATGAGAACATGATGTCTTTTTGTCTTCTTGGTTTTCATTATTTTGTGTCGGGTCTAAATTCCTTTCAGTATTTAAATCATTAATTAGGGGAGTATACCTGTCAGGTAATTTCTTGACTCTAGAAGATTTCCTAGCAGACATTTTATACAGGTTTCGGCACCAATATTAAAAATATCAAATACAAGACTTTAAGACAATTAATAAACTTGATCTGTATTTTAACAAAGGGAACAATGACATCAATATTTACAATATATTAATAAATAATAAAACATATGTTGTAGGTATCAATTAATTATTCAGAAAGACCATGGCTGGCAATAAAATATAACACACGTCCTTTCTACGGGGTTGGCATATAAGAATAAAATGCTTATTGCAGTTATAATTGGCTTTGCGTTTGCAATGGGAAAGGACATGGTTTAAGAAAATTTGGTTCTTTTAATTTATGGTATGCTATAGTTTAGCACATCTACCATAGCCATAATGTTCTACCACTGCACCTAAACAATAGAAAAAAAGTAAGTTCTCATTGTGTATCATAACTTTTTGTTGCCGCTTGGTTAAAATTAGCTGTGTACACCTCTACTTCATAAGTATGTTGGCTAAGTATTTTTCTGGTCTCAAAGATTCAACACTCAGATGACCAATGTCGTGTTACAGATGTCCATATGAGGAGAGCTGAGGAGATGAAGTATTTTCTTGAAGCATTCATTACAACAACGGTTTTTCATGTGTGATACATTGTCTCTGCCATATTTTTTTGACATTGACTAGACTGAGATTCAAAGTATAACATTTAGGGATTCTTGTTAAAATCTCTTGAATTATTTGTAAAATTTAAAATGACTTTGGTAGGCCTATATTAGGATTAATTTCATTGCGTTGGTATATTTTGACAGACATTGCAATAATTCGAACGTGTACTCCATTTCATTAATCGTAATATTTTATTACCAAACTATATAACTTACAGTATTTGTTATATTTTTAATTTTGTCTTGATTTTCTCCTATTTAATGTAAGCTTTTTTATTGTTTTGACATAACTGAAGGATTATATACTTATTTATGCTATATTGTCATTGTATTGGACATTTTTATAAGGACAAGTTTCATTTTTGGTATTTATTTAAGTAAAAAAAAACAAGTGATGAAAAATATAAATTTACAGTAATTGTCATTGTCATGCCTAGCCCAGTTTGTGCAATTCTTTTTCTTGCAAAATAAGTATTAGCCCATGTTGTTGACTGTGTTTCAATTTTTTCCTGACTTGGTAATCACCACATTTTCTCTTTAGTATTAGTGTGTCTATGTTCTTTTTATAATAACAATAAGATAACAAACAATAGCGTTTGTAGTAAATAGGCCACTCAGTGTTACTTGAAAAATTATAATCTTAAAAACTACAATCCAATAGCTTTAAAAGAATTTACAATCCATGTATGAATGTCATCAGACTAATTTCGGTTAGTTCTTAATGAAATTATTTTAGTATTAATATGATTATGATTAGTAAAACCTAACATGTAATTGTTTTTGCTATCGCAAGAGGCCTGTATTGCAACTCTTTATAATGAGATGAGTTTTAAACTTTTTTTTCCATTTCGGTATTGAGATACCTTTTTATTTACCTACCCAAACTCATACTTTATACTTGTACGGTACTAAATTATACATTAGTTCTCAAGATATTATTCAAAATATTTTTACTGTTATCTAACTATTATGTAATTATATAAACATTTTGTATTGTACATATACAGTTGACTTTGAAATAAAAAAACCATTTTATTATTAAAGTACAGATTTTTATTCATAACATTTGATTTTGTAGCCTAATGAATCCCTTTATAGACCCTAATAAAAAAATGTGCACTTAAAAAATAAACTGTAGCAGTAAACTGAGCAAAAAACTGAAAACAATTATGCTGGGTAAAGAAAGACAGAAAAACCAAAATGTGACAGCAAGTAAGGGTAGAAAACGACTGACAGCGAAGCAAGGCGAGGCGACGTGAAACGTTTGAGAGCGAAGCGACAACATCGCACACATACAGCGATTACAAGAGACAAGGTGGGGGCAAAGTCAGTACCAAAATGACCATTTTAAAGAACATAGGCTATATAAATTTCTGGAGTACGAAAACAGTTTTTTTTTTAATCGTTTATTTTGAGAATGCATAACAAAAGTGAATGGGTGAATGAAGTGAATACCGGCAGAAAGTTGTATAGTGAATATCATCACTTATTTCCTGTATCGAGGAAGTATGAAACATGATTTTAAGGGTACATTTCATGTCACATCTTGTCAACGATCCCTCGGTTGTTGTGGTTCTTGTGTTTGTTGTGCCACATAGCGGGTTTTTCATAAACACATGCAATAAGTAATTTGATGTCCATTGCGCTGAACTGGTCACTTCCAAAATAACAATGTACATTTTGCATGTAATTCTATGTTTAGTTCGCTCCAAATCGCGCTTGTAAAACAAACTAGTTTGTTCCACTGAAATTTGCTTCGCTCTTTGTCTGTTCGTGCGCTAATTTGATAACATGTGATTGATTGATCATGTCGCTGTCTGTCTGTTTCTACCCGTACCCTAACCTGGGAAGTAAAATGATACCAAACATAACCTTAATCAAATTAAGTAAAATGGTTCTTAAGAACAAATGTATGTATCCTGATAAAAATTTACAACCGTGCAAACGTATTTGGGTTGCTAAGTTTTTTTGTTTTTTTTTACTTTACAATCTGTTCTATAATATGCTGAACAATAAGTAAATGCCATGCAATAACAAAGTAACTTAAACATTTAAAATAGCTGTTAAGCACTGTCAACAACACATTTTTCGATAAAACACTTTACAAAAACCTGAAGGGCAGGTCCAGAATTGATGGCCTCTTAAGTCTGTAAATTGTATCTGTGTTGTTTAGTAAGTTCAATGCTAAATGATTTTGATAAAATTCTAATTTCGTAATATATCTTTCACTTAAGGTCATGATTTCGTTCTTAACTGCAGGCATCTTAAGATCTTGGATGTAGTGTTCTATTGGTGACATACCAAGGTGCATTTGTTATCTTCCTCAGCATTGTCGATTGGTATCATTGGATAATTTCTATATTTGAAGTACTCGCCGAGCCCCATAGTTGCACTCCGTATGTCCATATTGGTTTCAATAGGTATTGTTTTATATAGCAATAATTTATTTTCTAGACCAAGTTTTGATTTTCTTCCGATGAGCCAATTTAACTGATTAGATTTTAAATTTAGTTGTTGCCGTTTTCTCCAAATGTGTGGTTTCCAAGTTAATTTCCTATTAATGTTATTCTTAGGTTGTTGGCTACTCATCACTAAAATAAATTATCACAATTTACTAAAAAATGTGGTATATTTCAAGTTTACATCAAAACTCATCTTCAGCCTCTAGTAACAACATATCAAGACTTGATATGTTGTTACTAGAGGCTGAAGATGAGTTTTGATGTAAACTTGAAATATACCACATTTTTTAGTAAATTGTGATAATTTATTTTAGTGATGAGTAGCCAACAACCTAAGAATAACATTAATAATGCCATCACGAAAGAAAAAACATACCGGAATGAATTAATTTCCTATCTAAATGGATACCTAAAGCAGGAAACCCGCTAGTCCGACGCTCTCCGACACGACGCCTTCCGTCAAGTCTCCGACACCTTCCGCAATTTTAAGACATTAACCCATTGGTCCGACGGGCTCCGACGAGAAATACACCACCACTCCAACAGTGCCAGTTGCGACGGAACAAGTGATCACATACTGTTCACAAGCAGTAGATAGGGAGACAAGAGCAAATAATAAAAAAGTCCATAACATTTATGACGATCTCTGTTAGTATGAGAGATTACAATGGTCAAGGACCTTCCTAGACCCACCTTGATCATTCCGGTTACAATTACTTTACTACAGGGAAATTAGCAACAAGTACAATACAAAACATGAACAATAATACCCCCGCCGCAGCAAATCTGATGTCTAATCGAATTTCTATTTGCCTGAATTGACTTTCAATAATATGTATTTAATTAACATTAGGTTTTATGAAAACCTAGGCTTGCTTTTGACAGGGAGGGTAAAAAAGAGTGATTTTAGTAAAATATTAATAACTTAGTATAAAATAAATAAATTAACCAAGTTTGATCAAAATATATCCATCAGAAAGCAAACTACAATATTTTACAATATTCTCCACAAGAATAACATGGGAATTTTGAAATAACAATTTTTTGAATTCTCTCCGTAACCTATACTTGTACAAAAACATCACCTTCTATTTAATAAAAATGTCTAATTTCTGTCGAATGCACAAACCTTTTTACCAAGTCGAACTGATGGAACGACTTATTGTGAGCTGTAGCAACTGTTATGACCCTTTTATGACAGCAACAAAAAATAGGGTCGAAAATATGATTTTAGACACTAGTGCATTCTGTGACCAGCTCACACAACTATGATAAAATAGTTTACTTTTTTAATAAAAAATGTTTAGTCATTTTTTTGTAAATAAAAATATTACCTGAAAGTACAAAAATATGTCAAATAACACACTTGTCTGTTTACAAGTGTTATTTGGTTTTTTGTACCTACAGGTAATTTAATAACACGTACCATATGCTGATCTAGAAATTATTTAATAAAAAATTGATGACAGGTGGTCCATATAGTTTGGATGTCAACTTCAGTATCCAATAGCAGGGCCGAACTTACCTATGAGAGGACGGGGCGAGCGCCCGGGGCCCCCAGGCACAGGGGGCCCTGATAGGGCCCTCCTTGCATAGTCGTTTTTCTTAATAACTTCAAAAATCAATTGGACACCTACAGAATGGCCTCTATCGTTTTTGGTTGTTGAAAAACGCGATTGTGGGAAACTCACGAATACCAAGCAAAGTTACATGTCATATATAGCCCATTCACTTCATTCATTCATTTTAGTTATATAATTCTACTTCTTTTATTGTACCAAAATTCGCTATAGTGCCTATTTAAATAAATTGTCAGAAAATGTATAGTAAATTTGAATTATATTATCCTTTAATCACCCCTCAGAAACCATCATCACATTTTAAAATATATTGTATATATTCAACAAATATTATTGTTAATAAAAACCTGTAACCTGTAATTAAGTCCATAGTTGCAATAACACTTTTATCCAAAATTATTAATATACTCGTAGTATAAATTATTTCTAAAACCCCAACATTGATTATATCCAAAAGCCTGATTATTAGTGTATGTGCAAGTGATGAAGAAAGAAGACAGCTGGCTTCAACAATGAACTTTGATCATCCTGTGTGAAATTAAAATGTTCCTCCTTCTCTATTGGGACTATTGGGGCAGCTTCAACACCTTAAATTCAGTGAGGGTATAATCCCTAACATTTAAAAAGTCAAAGTGATAAAAATTATTTAACTTAACACTAACGTAACAACAGAAGAACAGTTTAGCTTTTATACAGGGTGGGGCAGAGTGGACTCCCTGATTTGATCGGTTAACTGTATAAAAACCATACAAGATTATTACAAAAGCTTTTTATTCTGAAATCTAAATACAATGCCATTTATTTTTCATTAAGTTTTAAAAATGATATCGTCCAGGTGACGACCTTGACGAGCGATGCACATATTTAGCCGTTCAATGAAGTTTTCAAAAACTCTATGCAGCACATCTGGCGTTATTCCAGTGATAACATCAACAATTGCTTCCTTAAGGGCTTCCAAGTCCCTTGGTCGAACTTTGTAAACCTCATATTTGAGGTAACCCCAAAGAAAATAATGGCATGGGCTTAGATCGGGGGAGCGAGGGGGCCATGAAACATCCCCTCGTAATGAGATCAAGCGGCCGGGAAACCGTTCTTGCAGAAGTTGGCGAGAGCGACGGGCGGTATGAGCCGTGGCACCATCCTGTTGAAATCAAAAGGCTTCCATATTATTTTCCTCACCATACTCTTCAATTCTGGGAAAGAAAAAGTTCTCCAACATCTGACAATAGCGCACAGCGTTCACAGTAACGGTTGCACCTTCCGATTCAAAAAAGATTGTTCAATAGACGCTCTCACCGCCATTATGTTCTCTGGTGTCCTCACACTCTTTGGTTGTCCAACTAGTTTTCTAGGCAAAGCAGATCCGGTCGCCCGTACACTTGTAATCCATTTCCTTATGGTTTTAGCATCGGGAACACTATCATGACGATTCAAACCAAACCGTCTACAAAATGCACGCTGGGTCGCCACCACACTATCCTTATTTTTAAAGAACGTTTCGACTACAAAACCACGATGCTCGCCAGTCCACGGCATGGTGACTACTAACAATGGCGTCTTTCCCCCCACCTCATGAAACCTCTCCCATTACGCTAACTCGCGCGCGCGCTCTTCAGCGACTGATTGAAACTAGGGAGCCCACTCTGCCCCAGCCCCCCACTACTATATTTTATTTTTTTATTTTTCTATTTTGTACTGCCACCTCAAGATTTATATTAATTGGACACTGTTACTGAAGAACCAATCTGGTGAGAACTCTCCATTTTGTATAAGGCTTAGCCTAACTTCAAGAAATTTAACTTAACACAGACCTATTTTATTTACTTTCTGATCGAACCTAATTATTTGAATTCAAAAACTACTTTATTTTCATCAAGAATAATTCCAGAAAAACAATTTGAACAAGAGAACTGATATCTGCTATTCAACTTTGATAAATTTTTCACCTATTCTATTCATTGTTGGAGGATTTAACTTATCTACCCAAGCCTAAGGGCAATATCAATTAATTATCCCATCTTTCATAATAATTGACATATTTTATTTTATAAATTAAAATATTTGAAGATCTTTTTAGCCAGCCGAGTTCCCCTCTCCCTGAGAAGATTTATGTAATTAAACTGATATCTTATTGTAAACTCATTGTTCTGTTTTACTGAGCTAGGCTAAACCAAAGATGGCGACCCTGTATCTGTTCATTTAAATGTCAAACCCCATTCATCATTGTAAATATCCTAACTTATTCTTAGTTCATTAAATTTGTATTGTAAAGAAATCCTTCAGCTTAATCATTTGTCTTTCTATAAGTATATTTAATCTAGGCTTAACTTAGCTTAATAAATAGTAAGCAAAGGTACAAACCTGAACCAAGTTTTATTAGTCTAAATTACAAGCACTACCAATAACAAATTTTGTAAAACATATTCAACCAATTGGGTAGTGATAAATCATTTTAAACACATAGTGTTTTCTTTTAACCGGACATTGCCGCAATCGCAATAAATCATCACGGCCGTTGCCATGATCACCAGAAATCATCATAAGTTTTGCCGCGAATGAAATATGACCACTGATATGGCCGCTATCCCAAAAAAATAGTCACGGGTGTGGCCACGATCGAGCAAAACACTTCCTCATTTTCGGCAATTCTGGCGTGTCCGCGATCGCAAGTAATGATCACGGCTATTGTCACGAATATGGGAAATCATCACGAATTTCACCGAGACCTCAAACAATAGTCACAGGAGTTTAAACTATCCCTGGAGACGATCGAGGGTATTGTCCCGATTGCGATATAATATTACAGTTGTTGCCGGGGTTGCGCAAAATAATCAAAGAGGTTCACTTGATCGCTTTGGAAGATAAACAGATAATGTCCCTATAAGAAGACATGGCATGTGTGTTACAGTAATAGTGAACAATTTTCATGGATTTCGCTGTGATCGTAAGTAATGATCAGGGAATCGCAGCGATCGTGGAAAATCATAAAGTATGAGGCCATTAAGGGATGTAACTGTTATCTCAGGTAATCATCACGGATGTTACCACGATCGGGTAAAATCAATACAGTGTTGCAGCGATTGTATCACAAGTTTTCTGCGATTGAAAGATATGATCAAGGTATGTGGCTGCAATCGTGAGAAATTATCACGGAATTCAACAAAGGATTATTAATGTAATAGCAGAGAAAGGAATATGCTAGTCTTATGACTGGCAAGTTTTGTCCTGGAAAATTTTATATGTAGAACTTGAAATTAATTGTCCCTAATTTCAAAAAGACACCCTGAAAAAGGCGTTTTAAATTGCCAGGCATACGCATAGTGGCAAAAAAAAGAGGCGTTAATAGGGAATAAAAATTACTATGTTATAAACATAATCTATAAAAAGCAAACATGTTTGAACTTATATATTATGAACTTAGATTCAGTTAGGTTTGCCAATAAAAGAATAGAAGTTATAAAATAATGTAAAGCTTTCACAGATTATGCAATCTCACTTATTTACACTACAGTAATTAATTAATGTTAGTTATTTTAACTTTTGTTTTATTCAAGCCCCTCAATAGAGTAGCCTATGTATTAGTGAAACAAACAATTTAAATAAACCTTATATGTACTGTTTTGTTTTTATTTTGTCTATATTTTCGTCTAATAAACGTTGCAAAGGATATTAAAGATTAATGTAGTATTGCAAAAGAATTTGGAAATATTGCATTTAAATAAATAAGCCGTTTTATAAAAAATAAAAAATATCCACACTTACAAAAATCATAAAATCATACATTGGTGGTACTGAAACGACTGTTCTAGTGGGAAAGATTTGAGAACAGGACCAGGATATATAACGTGTAAGAACACAATGCTCTCCTAAATTTGAGTCAAATATTTGGATTGCATGCATTAGTGGTACGTTTTAACGAGCTTTTGGGGATGTCGGTTTAACCGGAAAACCCGTTATCCGAACTGGCCTCGGTCCCGAGCAGTCCGGATAAGAGGGAGTCTACTGCAAATCAAATTTTGGAATACCCGCCATTTAGGCTAGAGGTGAAATATCTACCTCGGGTTTGCGTCAATGTTTTTCTTTTAACAAACCCTTCAAAATGAGGGGTCACTCAATATAGGGGGTTTTATTAAAAAATAAGTCACCACCAACCCCTACCCTATTAAAGGGTCTAAAAAATATTGTTGGTGTGAAAAATTAGAGAACCTATTTTAACAATCAATTCCACAAACAGAATATTTCTATCTATTTCGGTTTTAAAAATACAGATTTGTTTCCATATTTGTGGAATTAGTGCTTTTTCACATACAGTAAATCAAATTTTGGAATACCTGCCATTTGCCTAGGGGTGCGCTATCCACCTCGGGTTTGCGTCATTGTGTTTCTTTTGATAAATCCTTCAAAATGAGGGGTCACTCAATAGGGGTTGCTATCTGAAAAAATAAGTCACCCCCTACCCTGTTAGGAGGGTTAAAAAATATTTTTGATGTAAAAAATTGCGGAACCTTTGTTAACAATCAACGCCACAAACAGAATATTTCTATCTATTAGGTTAAAAAAATACAGATATGTTTCAAGACTTAATTTACACACTGTATAAAATTACTTTGTACAAAATGCAGCATACCGATAATCTAACAGGTTTAAATATTATTTTACAATGAATTTAATAATAAAATTGCTTGGTTAAAATCAGTTTGCATGTAAGACACATTATATTGTGTATACAGTAGTTACAATCGTATGTTCATACTGCCCAGACAGCACACTTTATCCCAGGGACATCCCATAGTAGTCCCATATGTCCTGAGAATGTCTCGGGATATGTACGCTAGCCTCAGGATATCCCGCAAAATCCCGGGAAGAGTACGAAATCCACAGGATATCCTATACAATATACCGTAATGTCCCGGGATTTGTAAGTTAACCTCAGGATATCCTGTAAAGTCCTGGGATATGTACGAATGCCATAGGATATCCCAGAATGTCCCATTACATCCCGGGACATGTACAAAATCCACTGGATATCCTGTAATGTCCCGTAATGTCCCGGTAACAAACTGAAGAAAAAAACTACTACCACTGATGAAATGTATATCTAAATTTAAATGTTCACAAGGCCTATATGTTTTATTCACTAGCGCTTTCAGAAACTAGGTTTCCATCTTCAGGCTGTGTTTACACTAGTACAAAAAGTAAATATTTACTTAATAAATTAATTTTAAACCAAGTTAAAACAGATGATTTAAAGGATATTGGAAAAATAAAAAATAATATTAGAAAAATTAATCTTTTGAATTTTGGATATATTACAGTGTTGTTCTTGATGTAATTATTTTCAGTAATTCCGAGTTTATAACTGAGCCGTCTTCACTATTTAACAAATAATTAATTTTGGTCTATTTTTTCTATAAAATAAGATTCCCACGCATTAAGATGTTGAGGTTTTATAATTTGTTTTAAAAGTTGAAGGTTTTCCAGAATGAAATGTGTCTTGTTAATACTGTGGCTAGCAAGGGCTGACTTTAATTTACTGACATATTACTACCACTGAGTTCATGAAAACTAGAGTTCTATCATAGTTGTGTGAAATGTGTATTTAATTCCAACTTTAAATTAATAAAAAATTATCTAAAACTAATTTTAATCATATAAGAAACAGTGATAATCTAATGGTAATTAAATTAATCTATATTCAAATACCAGTATCCTTTCCAACTAGCCTACCAGAAAAACAATTCAACTACTCGAGGCCTAAACAGATTAACAGAATCATATTATATACTGTAGTATCAAAAATATTTTAAGTATTACGACTATTGCAACTGTCGGCTACTCTTTCACCACTTGAAAACACTCATAATCATCAAGCGCAGATAGCTCAGGAGGTAAGGGAAGAGACTCATAAGGCGGAGGTACCAGGTTCGAGACCCGTCTGGGTTAAGAACTTTTTTCTCGTTTTTTTTTCTTCAAAATTTGTGTTTAATAACTATTTAATCAATTTACTCAACAATTAACCTTTTCATACTAAATCTATATTATTTTGTGTTTTTTATGTTCAGGCCCAGACCACACTTTATCCCAGGGACATCCCATAGTAGTCCCATATGTCCTGAGAATGTCCTGAGGACTACCCTGGGATGACCTCGGATGTCCCACGGATATGCTGTGAGCTTATCCGTAGGACATCCCCAGCGGGGACATTACGCATTCCTGCGGATATCCTGGGATATCCCAGGTTGACCATAGGACTACTATGGTATATCTTGCATATCCTGTCGCAATATCCGTGGGATGTCCTGAGGAGAAAGTGTGCTGTCTGGGTGGGGGCCCCATTGGCCAATTTGCCCGGGGCCTGAAGTCTAAAGTCCGGGCACGTCCAATAGTCAATGGTAATAGGCAGTTTTTATAATCCGTTCAAAAAAATTAGATGGTTTAAGGGGAAGGATTCCTGGGTTCCCCCACTACTTTTTTTTAGCTTGGTGTATATATCAGCTGTCCGCCGTTTTTTCAAAGTTAGGGTGAGGTGGATGAAATGAAATCACATCCCCTCAAACCTCCAAAATTTTTTGAACTGAGTATACATGGAGCACACAAAGGAAGAAAATCAAAACCTATTTAACCTTTTCTTTTATTAACCTACAAAACAAACTAGTAAATAGCAACATGGTAGTGAGTATTAAGTAACTATCTGCCATTGATGGAGTCATGTAGCTTGGCATGTATCCAGCTAAGGTACATGACAACTCTGGTGTAGACCCCAGGTTTGTTAGCTCTGCCACAACCATGACCCCAGCTGGTGATTCCATATAGAACTGATCGGCCTGCAACAAGACAGTACTTTCAGTCTACTGAAGCTATAGGTAACAACTCTGGTGTAGACCCCAGGTTTGTTAGCTCTGCCACAACCATGACCCCAGCTAGTGATTCCATATGGAACTGATCGGCCTGCAACAAGACAGTACTTTCAGTCTACTGAAGCTATGACAACTCTGGTGTAGACCCCAGGTTTGTTAGCTCTGCCACAACCATGACCCCAGCTGGTGATTCCATATGGAACTGATTGGCCTGCAACAAGACAGTACTTTCAGTCTACTGAAGCTATGACAACTCTGGTGTAGACCCCAGGTTTGTTAGCTCTGCCACAACCATGACCCCAGCTGGTGATTCCATATAGAACTGATCGGCCTGCAACAAGACAGTACTTTCAGTCTACTGAAGCTATGACAACTCTGGTGTAGACCCCAGGTTTGTTAGCTCTGCCACAACCATGACCCCAGCTGGTGATTCCATATGGAACTGATTGGCCTGCAACAAGACAGTACTTTCAGTCTACTGAAGCTATAACAACTCTGGTGTAGACCCCAGGTTTGTTAGCTCTGCCACAACCATGACCCCAGCTGGTGATTCCATATAGAACTGATCGGCCTGCAACAAGACAGTACTTTCAGTCTACTGAAGCTATGACAACTCTGGTGTAGACCCCAGGTTTGTTAGCTCTGCCACAACCATGACCCCAGCTGGTGATTCCATATAGAACTGATCGGCCTGCAACAAGACAGTACTTTCAGTCTACTGAAGCTATGACAACTCTGGTGTAGACCCCAGGTTTGTTAGCTCTGCCACAACCATGACCCCAGCTGGTGATTCCATATGGAACTGATTGGCCTGCAACAAGACAGTACTTTCAGTCTACTGAAGCTATAACAACTCTGGTGTAGACCCCAGGTTTGTTAGCTCTGCCACAACCATGACCCCAGCTGGTGATTCCATATAGAACTGATCGGCCTGCAACAAGACAGTACTTTCAGTCTACTGAAGCTATGACAACTCTGGTGTAGACCCCAGGTTTGTTAGCTCTGCCACAACCATGACCCCAGCTGGTGATTCCATATAGAACTGATCGGCCTGCAACAAGACAGTACTTTCAGTCTACTGAAGCTATGACAACTCTGGTGTAGACCCCAGGTTTGTTAGCTCTGCCACAACCATGACCCCAGCTGGTGATTCCATATGGAACTGATTGGCCTGCAACAAGACAGTACTTTCAGTCTACTGAAGCTATAACAACTCTGGTGTAGACCCCAGGTTTGTTAGCTCTGCCACAACCATGACCCCAGCTAGTGATTCCATATGGAACTGATTGGCCTGCAACAAGACAGTACTTTCAGTCTACTGAAGCTATAACAACTCTGGTGTAGACCCCAGGTTTGTTAGCTCTGCCACAACCAAGACCCCAGCTGGTGATTCCATATAGAACTGATCGGCCTGCAACAAGACAGTACTTTCAGTCTACTGAAGCTATGACAACTCTGGTGTAGACCCCAGGTTTGTTAGCTCTGCCACAACCATGACCCCAGCTGGTGATCCATATGGAACTGATTGGCCTGCAACAAGACAGTACTTTCAGTCTACTGAAGCTATAACAACTCTGGTGTAGACCCCAGGTTTGTTAGCTCTGCCACAACCAAGACCCCAGCTGGTGATTCCATATAGAACTGATCGGCCTGCAACAAGACAGTACTTTCAGTCTACTGAAGCTATAACAACTCTGGTGTAGACCCCAGGTTTGTTAGCTCTGCCACAACCAAGACCCCAGCTGGTGATTCCATATGGAACTGATCGGCCTGCAACAAGACAGTACTTTCAGTCTACTGAAGCTATGACAACTGTGGTGTAGACCCCAGGTTTGTTAGCTCTGCCACAACATGACCCCAGCTGGTGATTCCATATGGAACTGATCGGCCTGCAACAAGACAGTACTTTCAGTCTACTGAAGCTATAATAACTCTGGTGTAGACCCCAGGTTTGTTAGCTCTGCCACAACCAAGACCCCAGCTGATAAAACATAACATTATCAAATCCTTTAATATATTTTTAGTGTGTCTTCTAGTGGCTTTCAAAATGGTAAGGCCCTTACTTGTCTGTGACAAAAATTTTAATACAGTGATTACCACTTTACAAATGCGCTTTGGCAGGCCAGAATTGATTCTGGAATCAATTCAAAGAAAGACCAGAATGTTACCTCCAGTCAAGGAGGAAGACATCAATGATCTCATAGAACTCTCCACTTCTGTCCTTCATTTTACTACGACAGCATGAATCCTTAAAAATGGAGCACTATATGACAAACCCTCAGTTCAAAGGTATTCAACTAACCTCAAGCTCAAGTTGAAATGGCGGTGGATGAAGTTGACGAGAACTGTGCTAGCTGTGAAAAATTTGTTAAAAAGCGGGATAAAGCGTTGTTGTGTGAAGGATTTTGTAAAAAGTGGTTTCACGCAAAATGTATTGACCTTGAAGACAAGAAATATCGTATGATAAATGAGTTAGAAGATTCAGTGATGTGGATGTGTGATGGATGCACAACCAGGTTAGCTAAGCTAAGAACACTTGACTTGAGCACAGAGGAACTGATTAATATCAATATTTTAATGAATAAGCTCATTATTACTATGGAAGAATTGACGAAGGATAATAAATCCCTTAATGTTAGGTTAAATGCTATTGAGAAAGCTGAAGTTAGGTTAAGGAAAAATGTGACATGCAGACAGCCGGAAGTCTCGAAGAGGTTGGAAAAAAATGGGGAAGAAGAAGTTTCGGGCCCTGAAGAAACACCGAATGGAAACCCACACACCGAATCAGACGGCAGTGGAAAATCGACTACCGAGTCCGAAAATCAAAACGAAAACAGTGACGAGGGAGAGGAAGAGGAAGGCTCTGGAAGTCAAAATGGCAAGCTATCTCAACCTAGTAGTAGTGGAAGTGGAAAAAATATCTCGTACTCTTTGGTTAGTGTTAGTGAAACTCAACATCTACTAGAAGCTGCTGTTAACCTAAATTGCAACAAGGGTGACGATCAAGAAGAGAACACTAATAAGTGGCAGAAAGTGCCTGCTCATAAACGAGGACGTGGAAACACCTCTGGCATTAAAAATAACCACGACATCCCTAGCCTGGGGTCAAAGAATACCCATCTGAAGCCGGACAAAGAACAAAATAAATCATACAGGGAAGCTGTGATTAAGGGGAGAAAATCTACTCCTTCTAGACAAACTAGGCCCATCATTGGCACTAGTGAGTCTAAGGAAAGTGCAATCTTGAGTGGCGAGAAAAGGGCCTGGTTTCACTTAAGTAAGGTTAAGGCTGGTACATCGGCTGAAGACGTAAGTAAATACATTCATAATTCTTTTCCTAATGTGGATTGCATTGTTGAAAAGCTAGAAACCGAGGGACTAAACTGTAGCTTTAAACTTGGATTTGGTTTTGAACATCGAGACAAATTTCAGGATGGTTCAATGTGGCCTAAGTACACTACACTGAAACGTTTTTTATTCAAGAGACCAACCAACAACCACAGACCACTGCAGTAGCGGAAGGTAATAAGCAGTACTCTAGTCCACACGTTAGTTACCATAGTTATTCTGAAGATAAGCATACACTTAAGATAGTTTTCATGAATGTCCAATGCATGAGAACAAAGTTCAACCTAATCTCCAACTTTGAAAGTGAGCACATGCCTGCTGTACTAGGAATAAGTGAACATTGGTTAGACTCTGTTGAAATAGACTATTATAAAACCATTGGTAATTTAGTGTATGTAAATGGTTATTTCAGAACTCAACACAAGAATGGTGGTGTATCTCTCTATTTGCATCATGAATTAAATTTTGAACCACTTAATTTAAATGCCTATTGCTCGGAAATGAACATTGAACTTTGCGGAGCTACACTCCATGATTTCGATATTTTAGTTATCTCTGTGTATCGCCCTCCGACCGGAGATCTAGAACTTTTCCTTGACACCTTGGATAAATGCCTCTGTTACCTGACCAATATTAGACCAGCTAAAAACATTGTACTTGGTGGTGATTTTAACATTGCTCTCAACAGCCCTACAGCTCCCACCCAAAACCTTGAGGAGCTACTTCGGGGGCAAGGTCTTTATGTAACGAACTACTTGCCGACGAGGGGAGACAGATGCCTGGATACAGTTGTGACAAATCTTGATACTCTAGACTACAACACCAATGTCCTTTCGTCCATCATTGCGGACCACGCACCTGTTCAAACAACTGTGTGGAAAAAGAGGGTAAGTGAGACTCCAACTATTCCATCTTGGCATATGAATTATCTATCCTATAGAAGACCTATTAATGAAGATGTTCTACCCTCCTTCAAAGAGGCCTTGAGTAACGTAAACTGGTATGAGGTCCTAAATTTAAAGGAAGAAGGAGACATTTTCCAACTATTTCACAATAAATTTGTAGAAGTGTTTGACACCTTTTTCCTATGACAGTTAGGCCTAGAGTGATTGTTAAACCAAAAAAGACCAAGAAACTATCAAATGGTTGGTATACAGCTGAGCTTGGTAAATTTAGGTTGCTTGTCCAGCTGATATTTGACAAGTATAAAGCTGAAGCGTCAGTAGAGCGAAGAGATAGGTTATATGCATTATACTTGAAGGCAAAGCGTAACTATCAGGCTGAAGTAGATGCTGCTAAAAAGCTGCATACTGTACATAAAATTGAGCGCTCCAATAACAAGTGTAAGGCAGCTTGGAGTGTCATAAACGAATCTAGAAAATCAAGAGCAACCATTAGTAGTCAAATAAGCCCTGATGAATTTAATTCCTACTTTGTAAGTACTGTAGATGACATTGTTCATGACATGCAACCTGACAGTTCCGTTGCTGCTCTAGCGGTGCCTGTGGCACAACAAAATTTCTTGAAATGGAGACCTACAACTTCAGCAGAAATCATTAGAATTACTAAGAACTTCTCAAACTCCTACAGTCCAGACATATATGGTCTTACACCACACATCTTGAAGCATATTATAGAAGCTGTTGCTCAACCCCTCTGTAAGGCTATAAATGGCTGTCTGTCAACGGGTGTTTTTCCTGATTGTCTAAAAATCTCAAGAACTGTTCCTATTTTCAAGAAAGGAGATGTAAACGCTGCATCGAGCTATAGGCCGATATCCATCATTCCCTGTTTGGCAAAAATACTTGAAAAAATCATGCAAAACCAAATTGTAGACTATTTTGAGACTAACCATCTTTTCTCAAATTCACAACATGGTTTCCGTAAAGGAAAATCTACCGCTACAGCTCTCATCTCCCTAGTGAAAGGAATACAAAATGCCTTTGAGGACAAGCATTCCATGTCCATTGTCCTATGTGATCTGTCAAAGGCGTTTGACGTTGTCTCCCACAGTATTCTTCTTCAGAAGCTGGCTCGATATGGGTTAGGTGGGATTGTGCTCAAAACACTAGACTCCTATCTTTGTGAGAGGAGCCAGATGGTGGCCATACAGGGGGCTCTCTCTGCTCCAGCTAAGATGGACCATGGTGTCCCGCAGGGATCGATTTTGGGGCCTTCATTGTTCTTGATCCTGATGAATGACCTTGGTAGGGATGATGAAACCCTCCTATACGCCGATGACACAACTCTCTGTGGCAGGGGACAACTCCCTCTTGAAGCGGCAGCGAAATCTGATGAACTGTTCAACAATGCAAGAAGCTGGTTTGGGCACAATGGCCTTAAATTAAATGAAGCCAAAACTCAGAAGCTTCTATTAACGCTCAGCAAAACGTCTCCATCTCATGATGAGCCAGTAAAACTATTAGGGTTTGTCTTGGATCCCAAGTTACAATGGGACTCCCACGTCGATGCTGTGTGCCTTAGGCTAAGGCGTGTAATTTTTCTCCTCAGAAAACTCAAACATCAAATCACGCAGAAGTACCTTATGACAATATACTTTTCATTATTCCATAGTCATATAAATTATGGAATCTTACTCTGGGGCCACTCATCAGGGTGTATCCGTATACTGAAGCTACAAAAACAAGCAATAAGAATTGTAACTGGAAGTAAACGATCGCAGCCATGTAAACCCATCTTTAAGCAACTTAACATATTGACAGTATACAACCAATATATATTCAGTTGCCTGCTTCATATAAAATCCAACTTGCATCTGCATGAGAACAGAGGGGAACAGCATGATCACAACATTAGGGGAGCACACAAACTGAACACAACTAGATGTAGGCTGGCTATGACAAGAGATAGTTTCCCGCAGGTTGCTGTTAAGATGTTTAATGCCCTGCCAAAATGTTTAGTAAACATGGAAGATAAGGTTTTCACCAAGAACTTAAAGGAACTTCTCCTAGCAAATCCATTTTACTCAATTGAAGGATTTTTTGAAACCTCGCAACAACACTGTCGCTAGCATAAGCATCCACCGCCGCTGCGCAGTCAGTATATTTTAAATATATGTTTATTTAATTGTAAAATTGTAAATAGTAGTTTTTAATTATTTTGACGCTATATATCCGGCCCAGGCTGGTCAACGATGAAGAGGAGGTATTTCAGTTATTGATGGAACTAATGGACAAATTACCTTATAATCTCAAGTACAATTGGGCTCAGCATGTGAGATCATTATCTTTAAGTAAGCCAGACCTAAAAGATCTTTCTAGTTGGTTAGAAAATCAGTGCTCACTCATGAGTATTTATTTCCGTCCCAAATCTGACACTTTAACTTGTAAGAAGTATGATACAATGTTAGTATTAACAAACTCTACAACTGGGAGATAAAAAAGTTGTATATTTTGCAACGAAAACCACGAAAGTGCTCAGTGTAAAACTTTCAGGAAAGCCAGTGTTGCAGAGAGATGGAAGATGGTTGCAGAAAGTAAGTTGTGTTTCTACTGTTTTTGCCAAGACCCAATAAAGTTCTGTAAAATAAAGAAAGCTTGTGGTATTAATAACTGTAAACTATTCCACAGTCGCTTACTACACACAGATACTACACCTGAAAAACCTTTGTACACCAAAAAAGAACCTGTCTATTCTTCCTCTCATGAAAATAAAGACTCTGACTATTCTATTGTCAAAACAAAAGAAATAACCGGTAAACACACAGAAGAAAATACAACAAATAAAGTTCTGCTTCAGGTATGTCCTGTTACTCTTTATGGGCCTAAGGGCCAAATTGATACCTTTGCACTTTTAAATGAAGGTTCAACAATATCACTCATTGACTCTACCACAGCCGACAAGTTAGGAGTCGAGGGAGATATAGAGCCCCTTACTACCTGTTGGTCAAACTCAACATGTAACTTTGAATCTACCTCTTGTAAAGTTAGCCTAAAAATAAAAGGACTTTACGAGGATGAAGTATTCACCCTTGATAACGTTCGTACACAGTCACCACTAGATTTACCACTTAAAAAATTTAATACAGTAAAACTTAGACAGACTTATTTTCATCTAAATTCTATTGACCAGCCCCTTCCTTCGGTACATTCCAAACCCTCTGTCTTGATCGGACAAGACAATGCAGCTCTTATTTTAACAAGAAAAGTGATAGAAGGACCTAAAAATTCTCCTATCCTGTCATGGAGTTATCTAGGTTGGACTATATGCATGGAAAGTGTGCCAACTTTTATGGTCGAATAGATGGATATTTTAGTTTGACAACATTTAACAATGACAAACTACATAATATAGTAAAAGAATGTTTTGCACAAGGTTTCTCGTCATGACGAACATTTTAAGTATATGATGGTTTATGGGGGTGTGACCATAAAGAAAACTATGGAGAAACCACTCTTGACCAATCCGAAGTCAGTTTATTTGAAACAAAACGAGCAATTGATGTACCGGTACTAGAACACTCAACAAAAAGGGTTGAAGATCATTACAAAACCGGATTGTTACGGAAATTAGATTATTTCAAGTACCCTCCAAGTCGCGACAATGCCTTGAAGAGTTAAAAACCGACTGAAAATGAGAAAGGACAAGAATCTAAATACTCGTTAAATTAATTCCATTTAAATAGGGAATAAATGTGATATTTTTTATGAGACATTTTAGTGTAAATCCAATAAGGCAAATGGAAATTCGCTTAGTCTGCAGGTTTGTTGCAGTGGGGTATTTTAAATTTAGTTTGGCATTACAAATAAATATAATATTGTAATTAATGCTAATAAATTACATGTACTTCATGTCAAACACATTACTTAAGTTACCTACTAGCTGAAGCTGACCAATTATTTTTATACTGGTAGTTAAAATAAAAATACTTTTGACTAAAGGAATATAAAATGTATAACATATGAAAACTAATTTAATGCTACATTTATGATCAAACATTACACCGCACTGTGTTGGACCAACTTAAACGCAACTGGTCAATATTATAAAGTGAGCTTCTGCGCGCGGTGATACCGCTAGGTGTATAATGGCTGGCGGGATTCCTGACGCGGGGTTGACGCTGACATCGACTCCCGCCTACTAACGCGTCTACCCGCGTCGTGAATCCCGCTCGTGTAGATACGCCAATTTAACGCAATAGTACCTGTCGAGCGTGTGGCTTTACGCTCGTGTAGAATAGGCCTAAGAAAATTTGTAATAAAGCACATACAAACATAGAGACAGAAAACTAGGCTATGGTTATGTTGCAAAATCTGTCTTTATTCAAGGAACAAATACCACAAAAGCCATAGAGGTTGTTTAGGGACACTCTGTATAAACGATGGTTAGTGGTGATCGATTTTGATTGGACACTCCAATCATCATCACGATCACACCCAATTGGCAAATGACAAGAACCTTGATGGTGTCTTAACTTATATCCTATTGGCTACTGGTTCCGTGCAAGAAGTTTCTATACAACTGGATTCAAAATTTACATGTTCATTAATCAGCCTAATTATTTTGATTTTTACATTTTTCCTCATAAATATACAATTCTTCCCAAGCATTCATCCCATTTTCTTTCTTATAATAATTCTTTAAAATACGTAGATTTTCCTCCATTTTCGCAAATGAGAGGCCATTTGGTGACAAATGTTGTGCAAAATTTGATCTTTCTGGTTTGTTGTTTCTTTCTCCATGCAGATATGTGCATCAGAAATGAAGGACAATCTATGTATTTTTAGTCCAAAAGCTCTAGAGTCAAAAACTTTTATTTGGATATTACCATTGACTAGTTTAGTCAAAGATATTACATAAAATGTGTAGGTTATATTAATAGTTTTAAATTTTAACGGTGGACAAAATAAGTCATCAATAAAAATATTAAAAAACGCAGACTATTTGAGATGAATTTACCATTTACAGGACAGACAAAAGGACCCCCTGAGTCTCCTTGGCATGAATCTGCACCTCCCTGTAGATCTCCAGCACAGAACATGCCCTCAGTGAGAGCTGAGCCGTAGACGTATGGAGCACGGCACTCGTCATCAGCGATCATAGGGGCGGTAGTCCACTTGAGGCGACGTGAGAAACCTATACAGTACATTCAAAATATCATTAAAAACGTGGAAAAGACATTTTCTGTTGTAGGTTTAATGACAAATATAAATTATGTGAAAAAATATAGTTTTACTGTTTATGACTGAACACTAAAAAGGAGAAGTTTTCAAACATACCAAAATTCAATTTTTCATAATAGACAATTACAGTAGTAATCGGAGAAATATAGGATATGACCTTTAAAAATTTTCAATGAAACGTTTTATGGTTTAATTTTTAGTGTTGAGTGTGCAGAGTTACATACTAAAAGTTGTTAAAATTTGGTCTACGGGAAAACCCCTAAAATCAATATTAAAAATGGCGGCTTTTCCCAACTTTAAATAACTTAAATAAAAATACCACAATTAATTGGAATTTGGTATGTTGAATTTTGGTATGTTTGTGTTCCCATGCTCGGATTTTGTCGGATTTTTGTTTATATATTGTCCATATGTATGATTCCCAAACATGGCTTAAATTTTCTTAAAGCAATTTTTCCCACCTCAAAGTGTATTTTACCCGGACTAGATGTAGTGGTGCAGCGCGCGTCAAGGCTAGCGTTCCAAGTTTAATACTAATAACAAGTATGTACCATAATATATCTTCAAAGCAAGATACATGATATACTGATGTGATGATTATTATTGTTTAAAATTTAATGCAGATTCTTTTAAGAGCCACAAAATATGTATGTTCTTATCACCTGAGTTTGTATTTGCAAAAATTTAAAGGTTTTACTAAAAAAAACCTTGAAGAAAGTTTTGAAATTTGGCATTATTTCAATTTTAAGCTGTCTCATTTAAACAAAACAATATTTAAATGGTATAAAAGTTGTTATTATGTTAAAGTAGACTTAATGACGCTTAGTTGTCAAAACTATTGATGTTTTACTAAAAGCTTACATAAATCCAATATGGCAGAAGGTTTTTTCCAAAATGGTGGCTTTCCGCCACTTTAATTTTTCTCGATTTTTAGTATGATATTATGGACACCTTTGTTGACAACATCCCATTTATTTTATTTCTATTACATTAAGTTTGATGTTATGCTAAAAATAATTTGACTCTAGATTGACTAGCCTAATCGTTAAAAGTGTCCAGTTTGTTTTTATTCAGTGTTGAAAGTGGGAAACATAGTTTTTTTTCTCTGGACCACATTTTCAGACACATTGAATTATTCTGTAACAGCATTTTAATGATGCATCTGACAATGATCTTAGATACAGATACTTGGATAGTGAATTTGTCTTAAACAGTAGTAGTTTAGTAATAGAGGTATTTTTAACAACTCTGATTTCAAACAACGGACCAAGTTTTACTTCTTAAAATTTTCAAGAGTTTCTTAATTCATTTAGAACATGAACAAATTTCTTTCGCCTCTTGATACATCAACATCAAAATGGAAAATAAAATTTTTCCTAGGTCTTACAAGGTCTTTCCATGCCGCCTACTGTAATAGCTTCTCCCCTACAGGGAAAGTTCACTAAAACGTTATTTCTATTCATTCAATCCTATATAATTAATAATATTCAGCATAGTTTCCCAATGCCTAACTTGAGTTTATATTTGAGAGTGTAGAAGGACTGTGTTGTTAGTTTACCTGCTCCAGGTGTTCCGTTAGAACCCCAGCCAGAGATGGTGCAGTTTGTTCCTGGAATGTAGGCACTGGGGGGAGGTGGTAGACATACTGCTCTCACATAACTGCTAAAACGTATACCTGTGCCTTTCAGCTTCACTAGTGCTATGTCATTGTTCAACTTATAGCCCTTGTCATAATCTTCGTGAATATATGTAGATTCTATATCATATTCCTGTTCAGTTCCCTCAGGCACCTATCAAAAGCAATTTTGTCATGAATACATGGGTTTTTTGCTTTAAGATAAAAGTAATAAAGACGATATAATCAAATTTGAATTTTATTTTTGAGACACTAAAACCTTAACTATAAGATTATGAAATTGAAAGCAGAGCCAACAGGTCCCTCCAAACATTTATTTGTTGGATATCTGCCAGCTTTTTGACTTGACGGAAAACACATTAAGGTTTAAGAACTTATAACAAACAAAAAAATTTTTCATACCGCAGCAAAAATAGCCATTTATAATACATGCGTTGCAGGTCTAAAGGAGAATTTTTAATCCCTAGGGACTAGGGAGTAAAAAGTGTTTTTAGCCCTTAGGGAGTAAAAATCATCTGTTTTAAACTCAGTTTCAAATTTCAATTGAAACAATCACATATTTTGAAATTATGTATCAATTGTTTAATCGATTGAAGTTAATTGTTTCCTTAATGTAAATACTTCGGCATATCTATGGTATATAATGTACACTAACACAATCGTAAAAGACGAAACGATTGAATCTCTTACTAAACAGCAGCTTGTTTCCATAAGCAAATTAAATTGAAAACAAGTTAGAAGTAGTTTTGAGAGGTTATCTTTAAATGAAAACTATTTTAGTTTTGTAACATAGTTTATTCAAATAATGGTGCAATATGATGAAAAATATAGTTCATCACACGTGAAAAGTGTCTTTTCAACCTCATTTTCTTTTCTTTTCATTTTCCGACCTAGGCCTCGCCTCGATCGTAAAACTTGAGCTTGGGCCGAAAAGAGTCATTTTAGGCCCTAGTGATGAAATATACTATTACAGTATTCTATACTCTAATATGAGCAATGTTTGCTTGTATGTATGTATGTTTGCTTCCTTGCACAAAGATCTCGAAAATGGCTCCGACGATTTTCTTCAAATGTTGTAAATAGTTTATTCCTGGCCTAAAAACGAGTTTACTCCAGTTAGACCTGGATCTAATTACGTAATCAAAAATCTAATTACGTAGAAAAATTAAACTGAAAGTCACATTTTTTTAACATTAGTCTTATGGGTTGCTAAGTAAACATCTTGGCTGAATTAAATAACAAGGAAAAAAGCAAACAAAAAACTTGTAAGTTGTCTGTCCACAGTAAACTAGAAAATTAAAAATACAGTACAAAAGGAAAAACATCAGTTGTTACTATTGAGCAAAGATTATACTGAAGATTACTCGATAAATTGTAGTCAAGGGTAGAAGTGTGGAGTGTGGGATCTGTTTATTATGATTAGATTACGGTATCTGCAATCCTTAAATGCTATGGGAAGGGAGGGAAACAGGTCCGCGACGTAGGAAGTGGTGAAGGAAGTAATAAAGGCGAGCAGTCCGGAGTGTGGGACCTGTTTATGACGATTACATTAAGGTATCTGCAATCCTAAAATGCTATGGAAAGAGAGGAAAACAGGTCCGAGACGTAGGAAGTGGTGAAGGAAGTAGTTAAGGTAAGCAGTCCGGAGTGTGGGAACTGTTTATGACGATTAGATTAAGGTACAGTATCCGCAATCCAAAAATGCTATGGAAAGGAAGGAAGACAGGTCAGAGATGTTGGAAGTGGTGAAGGAAGTAGTCAAGGTGAGCTATCCGGAGTGTGGGAACCGTTTATGAAGATTATATTAAGGTATCTGCAATCCTAAAATGCTATGGGATGGGAGGGAAACAGGTCCGCGACTTAGGAAGGGGTGAATGAAGTAGAAAAGGCAATGTGGAGTGTGGGAACTGGAAACAGTTTGTAGCAGTTAGAATAATGTATCTGCAATACTGAAATGCTATGAGAAGGGATGGAAACATGTCCACGACACAGGAAATGGTAAAAGAATTAGTAAAGGCTAGCAGTGCGGAGTGTGGGGAATGGATTCATGTATCTGCAATACTAAGACTGCTTTCAGAGTAAACTAATGATTTTGTCCGAGCAAAGCTCGGTCCCCAGGTACTTACCCTTAAATTATGATTGAACGATTCTCACATGAAATCTTTCAAATTTGTATTGAATATGTATAATATAAAATACATCATATTACCTGTTTTGAAAGCAAGAAAAAATCTTTTAGCTAGTGACAAACATTTTCTAGGGCGATTTCTTCCTGTGTGTCATAACGAGTTTCAAACATAAGCATTTCTTACAGTAGAGTAGGATCCTAGATTTCTAGATGTACACAAATTTAAACACCATATCCACAGAATCCTTTTCACAGAACGTGTGATTTTCACTTGACGGAAGCTTAAATTTTCCATCACATCGTTATTGAACAAATTTATGCCACCTACCTACTAGTCTAATCATCATATGAGTTTGAAACGGCCTTAACTAACATACAAACCTTGGAACATTACATTCTTCTGTCATTGTCTAAACAGAAACCTACCCTAAAAACTGCAAAAATGTGCCCAACATCAATGCATCACATATAGCCTTTGTCTAAATTAACACAAAATTACTAAGACAATAATAGGTTTTACATACCTCCGTCAAATAGTCCAACGATTAATATTGCTCATCAGCTTACCGTACATGTTTCGTTGTAAAGACAAAATTTTCAAAGCTTTCAACATTTTCGGTCCGAACCACCAACCCCACTAGGAACATTTTGCACAACAATAAAGGATCCAGCAATAAAGTAAACAAGACTGGTGTTTACAAGATCAGTTGCCCAGATTGCCCATGCAAATAAATACGCTGGACGGGTCAGGCAATTGAAACCTGCTACAGAGAACACAGGTCAACTCCAAGAATTATCAAACAAAAATCAGTCATCGCCCTACACCTGGTCGACTCAAAGCATTCATCAAACATGTAAGCTGATGAGCAATATTAATCGTTGGACTATTTGACAGAGGTATGTAAAACCTATTATTATCTTAACAATATAGTCCAGGGGTCAGAAACATGAATTTTGACAAAATTACTAATGACTGACCTCTGTGTCAAAGTCACCGACTCGTACAAAGTATGCAGACTTAGCGTAGTCCTGGAGGCAGTGAGCGGAGGTGAGTATGTGGAGGGGGGAGATAACCACAGCTCCGCACCAGTGAATAGACTTGATCGATCCCCTCACTCGCAAACTGGCCTGTCAGTGAAACACATCACTACACTGGACTAAGGGAGTTGTGTGGAGGTTAACCTGTTATATTTTAATTACCTTAAGTTTATTTGAGTTGACTTATTTTTTTGTTTTGAATAATTTTTTAAAATTTATTAAGGTAATATTCCAAACTATCTATTTAACATCTTGTAATTGTAGTCCAGAGAAGAAATATCATCTGGGCCAAGAATCAATACCACGGAACTGAACTAATAACTGAAGGCAAGCACTACCATTCAACCTCAACTACCCAGAGGGTATAGCATAACCCATAAGTTAACTAGGAAAATACAATCTGCCTCAAAATGTTACAATAATTAAGATTAATGCAAAATTTATGTTTTCAGAAAAAAAATATGAATCAGAAAATATTCCCAAGATAATATAAAATCTAAAAATTGAATAATGATAAGAATTATACTGACTTTGGTTGTACCTAAGTATTTTAAACAACAGACATACTGCAGTAGTTAGAGTCATTTCCAAGTTAAAACTGAGGGATTCAATTATTTTCACTCATGATATATTACCTGCCAGGGGATAGTGCCTTTTTTTATATCTTGACCTTTTACTACTTTTGGTGTTAAGTCTGTGTTTAAGTACTTCAATTCTTCATCAATCTTTCCACAGTCCTTTGGAAGTATGCCATCCACTGATAGTTTCTGTGGAGAGTCTACATCTATCTGAAGATTCTTTGCTTCATGTGAATTTCTTTTGTCCTGAACAAAATAATAATCACTGTTTAACACGTTTTTCCTATCCTAATCACTTTAAAGGTTTTGAAAGAGTACCAAATCAGTTCAATATAATACATTTAATAATTATACTTAACTAGCTGCTGTGCCCACACTTTGCAACGGGAAGTGGGAAGATGTAATCCAAACACTTGATAAGTAGACTTTTCCTAAAGTTGAAAATAAAGAATAGGGTGTAACTGCAAAATTGAAATAACTCCAGTTGGAGTATCCATAGAATATTTAAAATATATTTGAAAATGAAGATGCAATAACTATGGGTTTATGACTCAGAAAAAAAAATAGTAGCTAGGTTTCCAAATACCCATTCGGAATAATTTTTGTATTAATCAATGGTTTGTTTACTTTAGAAAACCATTCATCAATATTACATAGGATTAATTTGTTTACCACTACAGTATTGTACTTATTGTGTTAAATCTGTTGAAATATTAATTTATTCAACAAATAAACTTAAACTTCTATATTGAAATTCGCCATGTAGTGCAGGCTTAGTATAAGTTAACACCGAATATTTGACTATTGATATAACAAGACATTCCATTGCCATGTTAAAGTTTGCCAGTTGGACGTAGGTGAAATGATTTACTGACAAAAGTGTGCTGATGTAAATTACTGATTTTTATACACTTATCAACAAAGTCCAACGGACAACTTTTTGTAAGCCCCTCAAAAATCTTTTATGTCACATATCAATATCTCAATAACTGAAACTAAGAGATAACATATAATTATAGACCTTTACCCTAGCATACTCTATGAAAGAATAATTCAACTACAGCAGACTCTCACTAATTTGGCATGTTCAGAACTTTGGTTGTGCCGGATTACTAAACGTCTTCTAAAAACAGCCATTATCGTGATACTAGCAAAATACCCCCGCCGCAGCAAACCTGCAGACTAAGCGAATTTCAACTTGTCTGATTACATTTTTACTAAAATATTTCCATAAATATGACGTATTTATTCCCAATTTAAATAACATTAGATTTAACAAGTGCTTGGGTTTGCTGCTACGGGGAAGGTAAAAAGTGTGTTTTGACCATATGTCAATAGTATAGGATGAAATAAATAAATTTGCCAAATTTTATCAATATATATCCATAAACAAGTAAACTACAACAGTTTTCATTTTCTCCATAAGAATAACATGGGAATTTTAAATTACACTTTTTTTTATTTTCTCCGTGACCGTTAGGCATACAACAGCGCTTCAATATACTAAATTATTTCTTTTTTTAAGCTCTACAAAATGGTTGAGAAAGAAATTACAAAATTTTTTGTTTTTAGGGTGAAAAATGGGAAAACCCCATTTTTACCCCATAAAACCCCCCATAAACCCCTGTTCCCATGGTCCGATTATGCTGGTTCGCGAACTCGTTCAAATAAACGTAGGTTTACACGTTTGTACCAAATTTCATCAAAATCGGATCATTTTTGCTTGAGTTATCGCGCTAACGGACACATATATAAATATATATATATATATATGAATTTGAACGGATGGTGTTTTTGGTCTCTGGGGACCTCAAAACGAAAAAGTAAATCGGTCCCGGGTCTAGGTCCTACCATGAGACCTACGGTAATAGCTTATTCCCTATATGGGAAATTCGCTGAAACACTCTAATTTTAGAGGGTGGAAAGAAAATCGTTCGCTGGCTAGCCATAACTCCATGTTTTATTGTGTTTTCCTCTGTAATTTTATTTAGCTCAATCAGGTTACCAATTATAATATTATTCTAGCATCTATAGGGGGTTGAAAGTGTTTTTGATTGTTGTTGGGGGCATCTTGGAGATGACAAAACCCGATGTTGTCGCCCTCCCAGCAGGTGCAGAACTGTGGGGGGAGGGGGGGAAGTAGCGATGAGGCGCGTTTTAGAACATCGCTCATATTTCACGAACTAGACACGATAGAAACATGCTTTAAACGGCATTGTATTACAAACTTCATCTGCTTGGAAAAAAAGACAAGAAAAATCCCGTAGCTCTATTATTAATTGAGTTATTAACATTTTATTTTAAAATATGCATTACAAACTCAAAATAACATTAAACTCCCATTAAAAACCCTTTAAACCAATAATAGTACAGTTCGTCATTGTGCATTGTATATTTAACACACTAAAATCACTTTATATGGTTATTATATCAAAACAATTACAAGGTTATGCTAGGTTTCCGATGAAGCGGCACGGTGACGCGGATAACACCGCTGCACGGCGGAAATCAACGTGTAGTAGAAACTGTAAAACTTGGGTATGCACTGAAAGTGTAACACATTTTGACTTTTGATTGTTGTGGGGGCATCTTGGAGATGACAAATAGCGACATTGTATCCCTCCCAACAGGTGCATAACCCTGGGGAAGAGGGGGAAGATGCACTGAGTCGCGTTCTAGAACATACGATAGAAATATGCTCTAAACGGAATTGTATTACAAACTTCATCTACTTTTAAAAAAGTACAAGGAAAAATCCCGTATCTATATAATTGATTGAGTTATTAAAAATGTTATTTTAAAATATCTATTTTAAACTCAAAATACCGTTAATCAACCTATAAAACACACTTAAAACAATGAACAAACAATGAAACAACAACAAACAAATGAACAACAAATGAAACAATGCCCCTGGATTGCCAAATAATATTATAAAAGGTTTAAATACCTGCTATTAAGCAATCCAATTTTGTTGTTGACACAACTAGTTTCGGTGTCTGTGTGACACCATCATCAGGCTGCACAAGGACAGTTTTCTTTCTTCATACGAAGAGCGTCATATTTACACGAAGATAATAAATAAACATTTAAACACGACACAAACACGAATACGAGACATTTATGGTAACTGATCAGTTATGAAAACAGACGACGCTAACCCGACGGAGTTTGAGTCCAGACTGTAACGTCTGGACTTCAACGTCTGGACACTTCATACAGTACTGTCGTATGAAGAAAGAAAACTGTCCTTGTGCAGCCTGATGATGGTGTCACACAGACACCGAAACTAGTTGTGTCAACAACAAAATTGGATTGCTTAATAGCAGGTATTTAAACCTTTTATAATTTAAGTTTCATGATTTTAAATCAAACAATTCCTTATTATATTTTTCCGTTTCAAACAAAACCTAGCCCAAGTAATATTTTCCGCTATTCAGCCGCTCTTTGCGATAAAGAAGGTATGCGGCCTTTGCCCTTAACGCTGATATCCTTCCAAACGACACAGTCCACTGTCATCCGCCGCTGAATTATCACCATACTTACTTTACTTTCCGTGTCCGGAAATTAGACTTCGCTTCTCCAAAAATTAGCTACCGATATGGCTTTGTCATTCGCTTGTAAAAGATCATCTAATGTGCAAGACTGGTCCAGGCGTGGAGAGATTAGCAGATGGCCAGGATCCTGAACAGCACCACACGGACACAAGATTTTTTCTTCGTCTGGTAAGAGACCCCATTTCTGCATGTTTGACTTGAGATCCCTATGATAGGATAGAGTTTGTGTACTGGGGTTGGTTTCAAACACCCAGTTACAATCCGAGCCATGTCATTGACTGCAATGTCAACCTTTTTTGCTTTTGGCGATGCATTCCAAACTGGCCATTATCACCATATTTTCTATTGTCTATCTGCATCATCTTTTCTGAGTCACCGTACGTTCCGCGTTCAACCGCCCATCGACACCCTCCTCCTCTACCCCGTCACTCACACTACGCTTGATCTGTCGTCTGGTGTTAATTATAATAATTATAATACGAAAATCATTAAAACACACTGGCACAATAATTGTGCCAGTGTGTTTTTATGATTTTCGTATTCCGTGGTGTCTCATGAGTGTTATTTTTTGTCAAAACAAAGTAAACTGATCGGGTTGTTCGCCCCGAAAAGAAAGATTTGATGGCGTTAGCTGGTGTGGCAATGGAACAACGAAGTTAAGTGAATTTATTACACGCCTTTGAAATAATTTTTTTTTAATAGGCCAAGTCCCGTTAACATATTAATCAAAATATTCAGTGTTAAAGTGTTAAAAAATTGCATGAAATGAAATGAAATGAAATGAATGAAATGAAATGAAATGAAATGAAAAAATATCTTTATTCATATGGTATACAGTCGCATACATTGAATGGCGTCACTAGGCTTAAAACTAAATAAAACTAATCTACAATTCATCGAAACCATAAAGTGTTTTATCAGTTAAGAAATGTTTAAGTTTTTTTTTAAATTTGGAAATATTATCAATATTCCTCACCTCAGCTGGGAGTTTGTCCAAAAACCTTTTCCCTGCACAGGTGGTTTTTTTGTTAAAGAGCTCCAAGTTATGGACACTGACAGCAATTTCGTTTCTGTTCCGGGTAAAATAATTATGACAATCACCAAGTTTAGGGACCAAATTAGCATTAGAAAGTTTTTTTGTGTGTAAAATTGTATGAAAAACATAAATACTATACACAGTCATTATTCCCAATTTTGAAAAATATTGACGAGCGGAAGTATCCCATTCTAAATTTAACATAATTCTGATTGCACTTTTTTGACGAGTAAGAATTCTATCCAGGTTTTGCTTAGAGGTACAGCCATAAATACTTATGCCAAAAGATATTGATGAATCGATAAAAGCAAAATAAAGAATCTTTAAGGTTTCTATTGAGCAAAATTTTGACATTCTATTAATAGCATGGATACCAGAAGTAATTTTGTTGACTACCTGGTCAACATGCTTATTCCATGTAAGATTTTTGTCTACAATTAATCCTAAAAACCTTGTTGTTGTGATTTCTTCCAATTTATTATTTTGAAATTGAATTACAGGCTGTACAATTTGTTTTCTTTTTCCTGTTGTAAAAACCATAAAATTACTTTTGCTTAAATTTAACAAGAGCTGATGAGAATTTAAAAAAGTATTTAGCATATTTAAAGTATCAGAACAATGATTTTCTACATTTGATAAAGATGAATTGCTGA